TGATGTCGTTGGTGCAGTCCCGCACCCGGTGGCGGTGGTCGAGGCAGCGGAAGCAGAGTCCCGCGACCTCCTCCGGGGAGGGGCTGCGCCGGCGCAGCGGGGGCGGGCTGGGCTCTTCGACCTGACGCGGGCGGCGCTGCCGATGCCTGGGGCGCGGTTGTTGATATCCATCGGCGTCGACTTGGACTCCGCCGGATACACAGTGTACCTCTGAGCGAGGACTAAGGCGGGTCGAGGCGTGCGCCCGAGCAGGGCCTGTGGCCCGCGGGGCGGGGGGCGCCAGCGGGGCGGAGGGGGGCGGCGGAGCGCGCGCGACGTCGCTGTACGAGCGCAGCGAGGACTCACTCTCCGAGTCCGACCAGCGGCTGCCAAAGGACACGCGGTCGCCGGAGAGGGTCGCTCGGGGCTCGACAGGGTCAGCGCTTGCGGACGCCATGGCCGGGGGTCTTATCACAATTTTAACATTGCACTACATGTGTTGAGTTGAATAGAGCTATTCGGGCATATAATTCTGTACGAGTCTTCAAGTACCACCTCTGTTCCAAATTATAAAACGTTTTGGATATTTCAATATGGACTACGTACGGACTGAAATAAGTGAACAAACACACTAAAAGCGTCTGTATACATCCGATACGGAAAAAAGTTAGAACATCTTATAATTCGGAACGGAGGGGGTACTGATTAACATGTGAACTGTGATGCTCGGTGGCTAAGCCTTTTATTATCCCCCACCCTGTCACTAATAATTTTGTGGACACTGATTTCCTATACTACCAGAATTCTGAACTTCGTTGCTGATTATTTACCTGCTCATTTGCTTATGGTTGCCACATCTCTTTTGGTTGACTGTAACCTTCTCTCGGTTTGTAGACATGAAGATGATTCCAGTTGAGAACCATGGAGTGCGATGTATGTCCATTGGATTTCTTGTAGACAAAGATGCACCAATCGTTTGGAGAGGTCCTATGGTTTGTTTTTGCTCGTGTTTCCATTAACTTCTTGTTTCAGATGTCTGAATAACATTCCTGTCCTGTTGCCGTCCTTAATAAACACAAAAATAAATGAATCACTAGAAACATGCATATTACTGCACAAGTACGATAGTGGAAACAGGAAGCATGTCAGAATTGTTTGTCTAGTTCGAAGTTATTTGTCATTACAAGTTTACCACTATTAAGTTTTACATTGTACCTTATTTAGAGTTCATAGTACTAGCATGGAATGAATTGGTATGTGCTATGTTAGAAATGCATTGATCACATGGAATCCCCTAACACCAAACAATTATTGGTATCAGGTAATGAGTGCTCTTGAGAAGATGACAAGGGGAGTAGCCTGGGGTAATCTAGATGTTCTTGTTGTTGATATGCCCCCCGGCACTGGTGATGCTCAACTATCAATGTCCCAAAGGCTTCGGTTATCTGGTATTTACATGTCTGTTCTATGAAGATTCAACACCAAGGTGTACATTTTTTTAAGCATTTGTTTACATGTTGTTTCTGCAGGTGCTTTAATTGTTTCTACTCCTCAAGACATTGCTTTAATTGATGCTAGAAGAGGAGCAAACATGTTTCGTAAAGTCCAAGTTCCTGTATGTTCTATTTAACTTCTGTGTTTGTGATTTCTGTACTTATTTCTTAGTTTCTAGCTGCTTGCGTGTATTAGATATTAAATACTAATTCAGATAGAATTATAATTCCTGTCACACCGCTCATTTTGCTGTTTATTTGCTAATGCTATTGCCAACCAGCATCAGTTATTATTGTTAGTTTATTACTGTCACAATCTATTCATTTGAATCGAATCACAGTAGGCATATTCATTTCACAAGTGAAAAATAATTAGCTTAAATTTCTAGCCTGTGCCATTGTCCAATATTTCACTGAATCTTCCACTCTTCCCAGCATTACTCAGCTGTATATTTTGGCAGATTCTAGGCTTAGTAGAGAACATGAGTTGCTTCAAGTGCCCAAAGTGTGGTGAGAAGTCTTACATTTTTGGGGAAGGGGGAGCTCAGAGAACTGCGGAAGACATGGATATGAAGTTTCTTGGCGAGGTGAGTGAAATGTGTCAGATTGCCATGGTTCAATTTAATTGGTATGTACTTCATACGGCAACCATCTTGCATATCTGTTTATGCTGATAATGGGGGTTAATTTTTACAATGTAACAGTCTAGTCAGGTACTTTCAGTTTTACTGTTGTATCTTAAGGCAGATTAGTCGTTTTCATTGATCCTTTTTTAGTCCACCCAGACTTATGCTTTCTGCTTGGCCATTCCAGTATTGTTCTCTGTGTGCCTTTGTGGGGCAAGTCATTTCTAACTTCATTTTACCCTTCTTTATTTTACCTCAACAGATACCTCTTGAAATTGACATCCGAACTGGTTCAGACGAAGGCAAACCAATTGTGGTATCATCACCCGACTCTGCATCGGCGCAAGCCTACCTGCGTGTTGCTGAGAAGGTGACACAGAGGCTCAAGGAGTTAGCCGAGGAGCGACTGATGGGCCCAGAGATTTCGCTTTGAGAATGTGTCAGCCTACATGTATCATCTTTCTTCGTTTTATCTCTGTCCAACTATTTTGAGTTAAAAAAAATCCTTCTGGTAAGCCGTGTTCTTACTCAAACAGACGAGCTCACTGGTTCGGCTGGGAATTCTGAAATAAACCTTTGACACCACGTGTCTTTTGATATGTGTGTGCGCCCCTGGTGTATTTCTTGGATGAATTGTAGACTGTTTTGCCAACACATTGGTGAACAAAATGATGTCAGCAACCTAGAGAAAATGTTATGGCAGATATGAAGTTGATCAATGAACAAGAGAGAGTATGGTTGAAGAAATTTCAAGAGAGTTGGTGATATGACAAAGATTTGTAATTGGGGTGTCTAATAAGCAAGCACGAATGTTCTATGAAATAAGAAGCCTGGCTATTTTTATGAGCTGAAACTGTATGGGAGGCCTCAACATTGAAAAAAAAATACTCCCTCTCGGTTGTAATAACATCTTATATTATTATATTATGGGACCGAGGGAGTAGTGAAGGGAGGAACATACAGGGGCATAGAGTGCAAAAGCTACTATACAAACAAGTAGAGCTAGGCCTTGCAGTGCATTGCCAATGGGAGCCCAACAATTTTCTACTAAAGCGGCATGACAACAAGAAATGATCATGGGTTTCAAGGTCGCCGGATCTCAGAGCCGCGGAAGAAGCATTTCAGATGCAAATCTTTTGCTTTCGTTTCTAAAAACAAAAAACCTATGAAGCAATGCCAAGATGCGGAAAAAGTCATACAACCCGCCCAAGGCCCCACAGAAGATAGAGGCAGGTGAAAAAGATCCAAAGGTTAAGGCAGCGAAGAACAGAATAGACCAATGCAAAACTCTGAACAACAAAGAAGTGGGACCAAAGGAATATGCAGGGCTCGCACTGGGAGCGGTTTTGCAGCCGCTGCACCGCCCTCTTCCTTGCGCGCTGATACGCGCGGCCCTTGGACTTAGGCTGCCTTTCGGGTATCAACACTCGACGGAGCCCAGCAGGAGCAGCTGGTGGTGGTGCCGGGTGCCACTGGTCTTCCCTGCCGCCTAACTTGGGAAGGCAGGGAGCGCATCATGCGGTCACGGGGTGCTGAATGCCCACCCCGGGCCACCATTGACGCCATGGACGAGGAGCTCCCGCTACGGTCCATCCGCGAGCGGGGTAGGGCAATGCACAATGCTAACTCCTCGTCGTCCGGTGCGGACGAGCTCGAAGAGTCCACGACGAACTTCTCCTAGTCGATCGAGTCAAAGTCACTGTCGGATCCGTTCCTGGCCATGGCGGAGGGGAGGGGATAGGGCATGCGTCAAGAGTGGAGGGGGCTGGAGTGGAGCGAAGAATGTTGTCCGGCTTGGGTATTTGTGGGGACAAGGATGGGGGCAGCATGGGCCATACTGGGCTGGTCTGACGTGACGGTGGTGTTCAGACGCATCTGGGCTGAGTATGAGGATTGTCGGACAACCTCGGCATTTGGGTTGTGTTTAGGGAGACCAATTGGGTCATATTATCGGGTGGGCTGTCCAGATGTTTGAGACGCATATCGGGCACTTGGTTGTAAATGCTCTAACCCAGGCACGACTCTTGAAACATCTCCAATGCGCTTAACCTCCTAACCTCACGGAAATGTGCAGGTTTTCCATCAGTTGGTGCATGAGATAGATTCATGTAGCAAGGATGAGATTGAGATGAAAACGTGCTCGACAAAACACAGGAACAATTGATCAAGTAGTTAAAAAAGCGATGCCATAAAAAAGGGCATTTTTTAAAGCATTTTGGAGAACTAATTTTGTTTTCTTGTTTGTTCAAATGCAACCACGAATGTTATTTCTTCACATATATTTGTACATAGGTAGAACACTCAACCATGTGTTTTCTAATATATTTGTACTATTTTTTGGTTTTTACTTTCTTGTAGGCAACCACGAATGTTATTTCTTCACATATATTTGCACATAGGTAGAACACTCAGCCATGTGTTTTCTAATATATTTGTACTATTTTTCAAATTTTGCTGTTTTTGATCCTGGGATTATCAATAAAGAGGGCCGTGTTTTGGTGCTTGGTTGCATTTGCACCCAGCATAAACAATATATTAAAAATAGGGAAAAAATCAAGAAAATCTGAATTTTTTTTTGGCACCAAAGATGCTTGAGTATGCTAGGAGTGGGCAAAATTTCATGGACAAATGACTTGGACATTCAAGGAGCTCTAGACAAAAAAAACAGCTCTCAATGGAACTTAAAAAATAGGCATTTGGGACACCCGATTTTGAATTTTTTAACTACTGAGCACCTCGAATGTCATTTTAGCACGCAAATTTGCAGCTCCTACCAACTCGAACACATCTTTGGTGCCATAACAATTCAATATTTTTCCGAGTTTGTTTGCAATTATTTTCTGAATTTACTGTTTATGAGAGAGTAGATGAGCCGGAGGTCAACTATGGATTATCCTCTAATACTTTCGCTATACAATCCAATATCCTCATTTACATGAGCTCCTTGTGGGAAAAAAATTCTAACAAGGATGACGTTTCTTCTTATGGGATGAACTTTAGAAGCACTATTTTTAAAAAAAAATAATACTTCCTCCGTTCCATATTACTTGTATTTGTCGCACCACGACAAGTAATATGGACCGGAGGGAGTAAAAAACCTCGATCCTTTTAACAACATCTAAAATTTTATAAAGAAAATACGTGAGGTGCTCTGGGCAAAATAAACAAAAGCTAGCCCTCTAAAAGGCAATGTTTTTAGATGTAAAAAACAGGTGTTGGAAGCAGAGTTTTTTTATACAGGTCACAAAACTTATCCTTCTTGACGAAAATTTACATGTGCACATGGAGCGCGGAGATGAACATGTTTTTTCCGTCAGATTGATAGTACACAACTTTCCTAAAAAAGAGATTGATAGTACAAAACTTTTTTTCAAAACTGTTTTTTTCGAAACGGAAATCTTTTTTTTAGCTTGATAGTACAATGGATTACCGGGATCCGAGACATTTCCGTCTCCGTGGAAGACCGCGGGCGGCTCTCCGTTACTACTGCTGGACGAGTCGCGCACGAGCTCCCCTCCCCCACACACCAAATCCGCAGCCGTCGTCTTCCCTTCCGCTCCTCCTCCGCCCCATCCGACACCCTCCGCCCCTCGCCGGCTCCCGTGGCGTCCTCGCCGCACCCTCTACCGGCCGCCGCCTCCCCCCCTCCTCCCTCTTCCAGGTAACGCGATCTCCTCGCCCCTCCCGCGCTCTCGCTCACGCGCTCCCGTGGTTGGTGGTAGGCGGAGGTTTCGCCAATTCCGAGCTCCGCGCCTCGGGGCCCGAGAATCGAGACCTGGTTTCAATTTCAGCCCCGACGGCGAGGGCGAGGCTCGGGATTGCGGCGCGCTTAGGGTTTAGGGTTTGTTGTATGGCGACTCGTGTGCCCCGCGCTGATCTAGGGGACGCGGCTTAGGTTTTATTTGGGGGATTATGGCAAGGCACGGGTACGTTAGAAGCGGGTTTTGGGGAAAGGGTCGGGTTCTTAAGCTCGATTGGACCTGGCACCCAGTTGCTGTTACTTGGTAGAGTTCCTGCTGTCGCATAAATGTTCTAAATCGAAGCTGTTAAGAGTCAATTATGCTCCCTGCTAGAGCGTTCAAGGAGCCTGCCTAAGTGTTTAAAATGGTGCCTGCTTGCTAGCTACATTTACATCCTATCACGAGTCATGCGTATGAAATAAGGCGTGATCCTGCTGCAGATTTTGAATTCTATATGCCGCTTAAAGTTCAGTGGTGGCTGTGGCGGTTTCTTACGTAATCCTTTTACTTTGTGTCACCAGAAAATATGGATGAAGAGAATTTCACGGAACATGGCATTGGTGAACTACCTCAAAATCTTTACGACGAAGAACAGCTGAACTCTTTCAACAATACGGCGCAGTATAATGAAGAGCCTGGTGGTAACTCATACAACGAAGAGCCTGGAAACCAATATGACGAAGGAGCTGGGGATGCATACAACGAGGTGCAAGCAAATTTGCTCAGCGAAGAACCAGAAACTCAGTACAATGATGAACCAGCAAACGCTTACCAGGACGAGAATGCATACAATGGGGAAGTGAAGCAGCAGGAAAATTTGCAGGTAGAGGGAGATGATAAGAGGTGGCCAGGTTGGCCAGGAGATAGCGTTTTCCGTATACTGGTCCCATCCCAGAAGGTTGGTGCTATCATTGGCCGCAAAGGGGAGTTTATCAAAAGGATGTGCGAGGAGTCTAAAGCTCGCATAAAAATACTAGATGGCCCACCTGGTGTAACAGAACGAGCAGTAAGTATCTGTATAAAAGCTTGATGACAAGTTCGTATTCTTATCAATACAACCAGTATATTTCTATAATGTCAGTAGTGGGTTTATGTGTTGTTTTCTTGCAACACTACCTTTTAAATTGTTTTTCTGTTGATAATTTTTGTTCATTTATTATGAGCTGGCAAATCCCTATGTTGATCTATGTACACTACTGCCCAGTTTCCCTGCCACCCTGGCCCATAAGATACATTTGGAATCGTTCCCTAACCTAACAGTTTGGTACCTTATTTAGTCATTTTGTGCTGGTAGTTGTTTGGTGTGCTCAGTGCAGCGTTGTTTGCTTGATGCTCATTGACTTAAGGACATTTTTAGTTGCGCTGGTAGTTGCTTGGTTCCTCACTCCTCCTTTGGTCACAGGAATTTTGTAGAAATTCTATCTACATGATTCCTATAGGAAATTTCCTTTTGAGCCCTTTGGTTTGTAGGAATGGATTCCTATTCCTATGCAGGATTGGTTCCTATCCTTAACATTTCAAAGCAAAATATTTTAGCTCAGACCTAATGGAAAAGTTTCTATCCTATGAACCAGATGCCATCTCTTTTGTTGTAGGAGTTGAGATGCATGCCATCTCATTTCCTATGACTTTCCTATTCCTATGATATTCCTATACTAGGAACCAAAGGAGGCCTTAAGCTTTATCTGAACATGGGATATAAAGAGAAATTGTTTGTTCCAACAACGAACATGCCTTGCAGAAACTAAAATACAGCTGTTAATTGAGCTACTTGTTATGAGAAAGACCTTGTTTTTCTGATTAGTGGAAACTTAATACTCATGTAACTATTAGCATGTCCTTAACTAGTTTGAGATTTGAATGTTATATTAATTGGATCATCCACGATATTTTAGCAAATATCTATAACAATGAAAATAATGGAAACAATCATCATTTCTTGTTCTGTATCTCTGCAAACTATAAAGGTCAGATGTGTTTGATGCAGAACAACATACACACACTGGTCACTGGTGTTAAGACCAAGTACCAACTCACATTTAAAAAAAATGAATTGCTAACTGTTTTGCATAGATATTGATCACATTAGTTTTCAACACATGCAAATAAAAAATATAACATTATAGCTTAGCAAATTAGAAATACCCCTTTTGTTAGGGCACTATTAAGTGTCACGTTTGCCATGCAAATAGCTATACCTCTTAGGGACATCAGTTGATTCCACATTTTGGATATCTTTTTCTTTTGAACCCCTAGTAAATCCTGGCCCTCTGTTCCTTATATTGGTCAGCAGTTAGGATGCTGTATAATATGCAAGAAACTACTTGAGCCAAAGATAACTCAACATCAGTTATCAGTTCTGTGTTTAAAATTGTCTCATCCAATATCGTTTTCCAATCAACAAAACTAAGATTTTTAATCGTTATTGGATCTAGCTTCAATCAATGGAAAATAAATGTCATCCTAGTATTGGGGATGTCAGTACAATTGGAGCTATGTTTTCTGTTCCAATATTTTCAAGTTGCCATTCATGGAATGGGGTATAACTGAAAAAGATTGATCATACAATCAAGCAAATGTATCATCCACGATGCCATGGAAGTGCTTTTTCCTTGGTGGCAGATCACTATTCTGAAAACTTCTTCTGAAGGAAAGAAGCCACATCCAAGCTGTGTATCTTGTTCATTCTGGCATTTTCGGCACGGTTTAGTTTTTATGGTACACTACGGTGTCACTTGGCTTACCAAATACCAGAATTATCAGTTGGTTTATCAACACTAGAGCTGCATCAGTTTTACCACTAATTCATTGTGCAGTATGTTCTATATTGCCAAAATGCCTAGTTGGGGCTATCCTTGCTTCCTAAACTCCAGTTTATTAACTTGATGAAAAGCCAACATAAAAACATTTTCAGTTTCTGAAATAAAATTCGTAAGTACCAGATGGTAAAGTTCACCAAAGACAAAAAGAGTGGCTCTAAAACCAATATGAATCAAAATATAAAATATACCTTTCATCAAAGTCCCAAATTGAAAGGCTTTGATAATGATAACACAAGTGACTGTTTGCAGGTTGACTGCAGTCTAAGGACCCAAAACAAACCACGTCTCCAAAAGACATGGGTCTGAAAGTTCAGTTTTGGGCTCCTCTGCTGCGATCTAGGTCCTTTGAGTCTTGGATGAAGATTCCTTTCAAGATGCTCCATATATTATCTGGTAATTCCACGACCTATTTGATTTTTGAACTGAAAGAAGATCACTGGGGCAAGGTTTCCTGCCTGATTGGATGACCAGCATTGTTCCAATGAAGACAAATGACCAAATTTGCATTAAAAGGACAAACATGTACAACAGAGTCATACACTTATATAAGTGAACGTAAAACATACTGCATACTTCAAAATGAGACTACATGATGAATTTATGCTAATTTTTCATCAGATGAAAGTAAAAAGTTTGCATGCATTTGAAAAAAGAATGCTATACCCGCATCCTTTTTTTTTGCGTCCTTCTGCAATTAGCCTGAGCGTTTTGCTCTACGAAGTGCCATGGTATTTAAATTATCGACAAGTGGACCGGGTTATGCTCGTAAGGCACTTGGAAAGATAACAAAATGTTGGTATTCTTTCTTCACAGGGCTTTAGGATCTATTGCATAGGATACACAGAAAGTTCAACCCTTGAAAAGGATAACAACTCCCATTGTGAAGGATGTTAAATTTTGTAAAGCATGTTAACCACAAAAAAAATGGCAATCTATTGATCACCTGTACTTGTTGAACATTGTTCTACATTTGACTATATGTGGAGGGACTGTTATGTCAAACATTTTGGTGTTCTTGTGTGTGGATCCATCTCAGTATCAGATTGCATCTGCTGCTATGCTCTGAGCTGCTGACTGCTAATGTTTACCATCTTTGATATAACTTAAATTAAACTGAGCTGCAGTAGGAGATCCATCTAATGATACTCAGGAGCATTATTATCCACAGCTTAAGAAAATGTACACCTTTTGACTTCCTTAATTGGCCTCCTTATTTTTGACTCTAATGTAGAAATCAGGTTCTTATTGTTTAATATACCAGATGACACCCTGCACATTGTTGCGGGAATATTTACAATTCAACGAGAATTGGTTGTATGGAACATGAATGTTTGAGGTAATAGTGCGGAAACTAAAACTGAAAATACATATTATTTATTTTGTTTGATTATTGTATAATATAGATATCAAAATAGAATTGAAATTCTCATGCATATTTGCATGTTGAGGTTACTTTTTCTTATGCATGCTGCATGCTGAGGTGGGCCTTCTTCCATGCATGTTAAATGCTGAGGTGGCATGCTTTCATGTTGAGAGAAATAGTTAGTGGGGGCTAGCTATTTAGATATAGAAGATATGTGGAGATACTATTAACTGAATACACCCGTGGGATTTCGTACATAACCCCTTGTGTTAGCAATGCTAAACCCATGGAGAAAAGTTTGGAGATTAAAGAAGCGATATTGATCTAGCAAAACATAGTTACGGTACTTACCAAGTTAGATTCTTACTTAAGTTATGCATGTGTAACCCCATTCACTGAGTTCATCTGGGTTGAATGGTTTGTTTCTAAATAATTATCCATTATGTAATTTCATGTTGTGCTCTTAAAACAGCTGTCTTTAAGTGTTTAGTACTAATTTAGTGAACAATGTTTATTTTCCAATTTATAAAGGTAATAATTTCAGCAAAGGATGAGCCAGATGAACCGATATCTCCAGCTATGGATGGCTTGCTTAAAATTCATAAGCGGATAACTGATGGTTCAGATGGTGAATCTGGTCAGCTCCAACGGGGTGCTAGTAATGTAGGACCAACACGACTGCTAGTGCCAGCTTCCCAAGCTGGCAGCCTTATTGGGAAGCAAGGAGCAACCATTAAATCCATCCAAGATTCTTCAAAGTCAGTTGTCCGGATTGTTGGTAAGGCTTTTGCATGTTTCCATTTCACGTATTAGATTCTGTCTTCATGATATATATGTGCTCCATGCCTGGGACACAAACCATTCTGGTACCCAGGAAACTGGCCTGTTCAAAAATCAACTCTTTATTCTGAAACTATTTGTTTGACACCAGTCATTTATAAAATCAGAGAATTCGATCCCTCACCCAAAACTACCATGATGATTGGTTGGTTTTGGTGACTTGGCTTTCCGGTAAGCCTGGATATGCTGACATGAATTTGATTTTCGAACCATGCAGGAGAGCTGCATTTGCTATATTGATATGCTGACATGACTTACAAATCCCCATCACGATAAAGCAAACACATATATACAAACTATAGGACTACTGGGTAGGCACAAAATACCTGATTTTGTAGTTGGGGGTGGAGATGACATACTAAGTATATATTTGATTTGTGCCTATATGTGCCGTGCCAAAATTTTGACAGCCTATAATATCTTGACATCATTTGGTTGGTTGCCTATGAAAAGTAGCCCACCCCACCACACATTCCCTTCACAACTCTCAAGGGCCAAGGAATCTCCACCCAATTTTTTGGCTAGCCTTGTTGGCAAAAATTGGTAGGGTATGATATGGCACAAACCAACCATTAACCTAATAGTCTTTAAAATAACCCAGATCTGGTATTTCTGCTATCTCATAGGATTTGGGAACTTGAACCTTCCTTTTGCTGATAGGTTTGCAGAACAGCTTATTATAACCACATGCAAGATTCTGAACTTTTCTTCTCATTTTTCAATGTGCTCAGCTGCTTATTATTGTACTCCCTCCGTCCGAAAATACATGTCATCAACATGGACAAAAAGGGATGTATGTAGAACTAAAATACATCTAGATACATCCCCTTTTATTCATTTTGATGACAAGTATTTCCGGACGGAGGGAGTAGCATTTAGTATTTTCAAATGTTTGGAGTTCAGTTGGTTGTCTAAACTGGTATGTAGATATTCATCATTGGTGTCTTCAAGTCTGGAACTAATTAACTTGAAAACCGCATGGGATAATTTGATACATTCGGAAAAGATGCTACGTAGCGTCAGCATTATTGTGCTATATGCCTTTTTAGTTTAACATTCTAAAATTTTATCAGAAAATGTGCCCCCTGTTGCACTAAATGACGATAGAGTTGTGGAGATACAAGGCGAGCCTCTTGGTGTCCACAAAGCAGTGGAGTTGATAGCAAGTCACTTGAGAAAATTTCTTGTTGACCACAGCGTTCTCCCACTATTTGAACAGCAAGTAAGTTTGCGTTTTGGCACCCTATGTTCCTGTCAATAATAAGTTTCTTGGATGCAGCATTTATGACTGTAAATTTCCATGTCTACAGATGAAAATGCACAGTGTGCAGAGAGAGCAGCCCATGGCAGCCCCACAGCATTGGGCGCCTACTCAACCCTGGGTTCCTCCTCCAAGTCTCCCTCCTGGTGGTCCAGGTTATGGTGGAAATCCACAGTTCATGCCTCCAAGGCCACAAGACAACTATTATCCCCGTCCAGATGTGCCGCCTATGGAAAAGCAGCCGCACTATGGCATTTCTGCATATGGACGTGAGGCACCACCAAGTGGTACTTCAGGCAATCAACCACCACTGCATGTGGCCTCTCAGGTTAGTTGTGTTGTACACCTGCACTTGACATTAGGATGGTGGGTTGCTTTTGAATTGCTGCCTCCTGATATGGGAGGTACATACTGATTTCTTGTGTATTTCCTCAAAAGGTACATAACATGCAAATTCCTCTCTCCTATGCTGATGCTGTGATTGGGGCGGCTGGTGCTAGTATCAGCTATATCCGTAGGCACAGTGGTGCAGCAGTAACTATTCAAGAAAGCAGAGGCGCACCTGGAGAGATGACTGTGGAGATAATTGGAAGCGCATCCCAAGTTCAAACTGCCCAGCAACTGATCCAGGTCAGTCTTCTACCCATCCTCTGGCCTGTTATCTACTTGCGCTAGTATTCTCCAAAATTGTTCACGATTGATCCTCGACTCATTTAATTTTCTTTGATATTCCTGCCAGCTCTTATTTCTGAATCCATTTGGGAACTGCACCATGCATGTTTGTACCTGCGCATTGTAAAGCTCATGGTCGGCCAATTAATTTGTTTCATTGATAAACCATGTTATATATAGATAATGAAATGTACTGCAGCCGGAATTATTAGGCTGTAGTACATGACTAGGAGACGCTGGTAAAATGTTAGCAGAATGCCATGCTTAGTTAAGTACTTATATTTATGTATGCTATAATCGCTATTTACGACGCCAACTTTTAGATGCTGATAACATGTAGGAGAACAACATTCGATAGAAGTTTTGGATGATGTAGAAAAAGAAGCATGTTTTCCTAAGTGTTAACAAGATGAGAAAGAGGACATAGTGTGGCGTCAAAACGTAGAAATATTGCTTATGTGCAACAACAAAACACCGGCCTATGTCTGGCCAAATCAAAAGCCGCGTCAAAACGTAGAAATATTGCTTATGTGCAACAACAAAACACCGGCCTATGTCTGGCCAAATCAAAAGCCTCATTGCAAAGAGTAGCTTCATTGAATGAACAATGGAAATGGAGAGACACTTCAAATTGTTGCTGCTATTTACATGTATGTCAGATCTATCTCTGGATGGGCTAAACACATTCAATACGGGTTGGACATTGCTTTGTTTCTTCCATTTAAGTTGACCTGTTGCTCATGGCCATTGCTTGCCTGCAGAATTTCATGGCGGAAGCTGCTCCACAAACCCGGCCACCGGCTTCCAACCCTCCTGCTCCGCCAGTCGATCCGGGTTACAGCTCTTACCCGCCGCCACCATATGGGGCTCCTCCCACAGGTGCAGGAGGCCCTGCTCCTCACAATGGCGGAGACTACGGTGGCGGCTCCTACCATCCCAGCTATGGATACTAGCTATCAGCAAGCGAAATGATTTGCTCCATCTCTATTGTGATGGTTGATTGTTTTTATTGTTGCTCAATAATTACATTCATGGATTCCTGCCTATCAAATTAGTCAGTCTGGTGTATGGTTGGTCGCATACTTTGTTAGTATGTTTACCGTCGTGACATGTGGTCTATAGCTGAGCTACCTCATTGGATACAAAATACATGTTGAGTTGAGTTGGAACAATCTGCTAAATTTGGAAGACTGGGTAAAACAAATTGAATCGAACTTGGTAGCTACCGTTCCCAGGTTATCGAAAGTTGTCGTGATGTGTCCTTTAGGGCGGCCGCAGTCCAAAAACAAAAAAAAAAAGCCAACATGCATGCTACCAAACCCCACCTTTTCTATGCTTCCACGACCACACTTTTTCTATGCTTCCACGACCATCGCTGGGAACGGGTGGAGGACTCCATTTTGTTTTTCTATGCTTCTACGACCATCACTGCTGGGAATGTGTGGACCCTATTTTGTATTTCTATGCTTTTACGACCATCACTGTTGGGAACGGTCGAGGACTTCATTTTGGGACACTCGTTGGTTACGTAAGCCCAAGACATTGCTCTGCTTATCTTTGATGCCTCCTTGAGAAAGAATTGAATGGTGTGCGAGACCCTAAAGAAAAGAACAATGTGTGGACTCTCAAGATCAGGCTTACTACCGGTGTCTCTATTGAGCACATTCGGAAGTGGCCTACTACTAGTGTCTCCATTGAGCACATTCGAAAGTGGGCACCGCGGCCTCCGCTTACAAGGCACAGTTCCTTGCATGACCTTCTCTCCTATGGATCAAATGGTTTGAAAGGCTTGGGTGTCGTTAAAGGTTAAGTTCTTCGCATGGTTGACTATTGAAGATCAAATTTGGACCGTTGATAAGCTTGACAAGCGGGGATGGGCAAATTGCGGGCTTTGTCCCCTTTATAAGAGAGTGCAAGAGTGTGAGGCAAAATGGCCAAAATTGACCTTTGGAAGAAAGTATTTCACAAAGTGCACCGTCGGTGAAAGAAATTCACCTAGCTGACCCTTTTGTGCAGCGCTCGACAGCAAGGCGCTGCACTCTACCGAGTAGCGCCTCCCAGAAAGGTGCTTCACATCAGGCCAGTGTGGCACCCCTAGACCAGGCCCGGCTCCACCCCTTGCAGTGTAGCGCCTAACCAACAGGCGCTATAGAACGTAGTGCAGTGCCTAGGGCAAAGGCGCTGCATTGTCACTTATACCGCTGCCGTGGGCCTGCCATCCCCCCGACCCACACCTCATTTTCCCCATCTCCACGAACAGAGAGGGGCCTGGCGACTAGTGTTCTTGCGGCCTCTCCAACCGCTCTCTCAGATCTACAAAATTTGAAGGAATTCGGTGGGGATTTGATTCTCAAAACATCTCCTAAGGTATTCTCCTCCGTTCCCTTTCTTTCCATCCGAAAATTCCATCTCATTTGTCATCTTTGTCCATGTTTTGGTGATACCTTAAATCCTATTGGATCTCGAAATTGCTATGGAAGAATGACAAGATTGTTTGATGTGTAGCATTAGTACTTGTATAGTATTCAATGAGGGGAATTTACTAGGTAAATTTTCTTGGAACCAAATGTACTATGTAGTATTAGAAACTTATGTGTATTATAGTAGATTGTTTTGTTCAAATTAAAGAATGATTGTGCTATGGTATTAGGCCCTTATGTGTATTTGTTTCAATATTTGTTCATCTTAGGAACATATGTTTAGAACCTAGCACAAAGAGGAACATATTTTCAATATTTGTTCATATTAGCATTGGTATAGTATTTGTTTCAACATTTCTTTAAAGTAAGAACATATTTGTTCATATTTTGCTCTTATGGTATTTGACCATTATGTGTATTTGTTTCAAAAAAAACATCACATTCTCACATAGAGCAATTTGTTATGGCATTTGTATGAGATATTCACATAGTTATATATGTTTGAAACATGTAGGATGGTGTGGCTTCTTGACGATTACTATGATGTTGAACACCAGGCCTATAGGATGTCAGTGAAGAAGGAGGTAATAATCATACTAGTTGGTATTTTGTAATATGTGTTTAGTTCAAATAGACATGCCTTAATAGTCTGACTTGCTTGTTTGCAGAAGCTTTTACCTATGAAGATTCGGTCTCACGGGGCATCGTCGAGTGTCATGATGTATGATGAGCGGTACACACCGTACATCGAGATGGAAGGACTCCTCTCGTTCATTCATTTGGTCAGCTGGTCGACGCCCAACCTCAACGCTGCAGGAATCACCTCTCTTGTTGATCGGTGGAGGCCAGAGACACACGGTTTCCATATCCGAACCGGGGAGATGACCACGACGCTTCAGGATGTTTCCACGATCACTGCACTTCCTATCGAGGGGAAATCTCTTTGTATGAGCATCGATTCTGAGGGGTGGCGACAGCAGATGGAAGCTCTTATTGGTATGGCCCTGAAGAGGCGCCAACAGATGGAGACAAGAAAGAACTAGTCGCAATCGGTGCTCCTTGCACGTGGATTATAGAGAACTTTTCGCATTGCCGTCATGACGCTAATGATGAGGTTCCGAACTACGACCCGGGAGAAATACCGTTCTCCCCGCGTTCCAAATCCCAATGACAAGTTGGCCTAACTACAAGAAATATACATGTCGTGGAATTGTCACGACAGATGTCCTAGCGGAATGACTTAGTTGTGGAGCCATTGCGACGTAGTTAGCTTAAAGGGGTTAAAACGAGACAAAGGACACGAGGAGTTTATACTGGTTTGGCCCCTTACGGTGAAGGTAAAAGCCTAATTCAGTTTGAGGTGGTATTGCTAGGGTTTCGATTACCAGGGAGCGAATACACTTGGCCTAGCTTTCGATCTGTCGTTCTCCTACCCTAAGCCGCCGCTAGGTCGTCCCCTTATATATACGGGTTGACGCCCCGCGGCTCCTAGAGTCCCGGCCGGCTCATACAAACATGTTTGGCCTGGTGACTTATCTTACATGCCTTACAATACAAGTCACATATACATAGCGGTTTACACTTACGAGCCTTAAGCCGCCTTTGGGCTTTGGGCCCTTTAATAAGCCTACTACATGAATGTGACGCCCGAGACCGATGTGCCAGGTGTCTTCGAGTTATTCGCTGCTGTTGCCATGTCATTTGCTTGCGTGTTGCATCTTTTCATGTCATCATGTGCATTGCATCATCATGTTTTCGAAACTTGCATCCGTCCGGGTTCCCCAGTTCTCTCTGTTGTCCGTTCCGAGTCCAGACACACTTGCATATTATATCCCTTAGCCTTTTCCTCTTCAAGTGCTGACTCTCTAATCTTGCCATTTATTCTTTCATCATTTTCCGGAGCTCTACCAAAATTATCAACATTTTTGGAAACTCCCAGAACCTAGTCCTAGTTCAAACCCATTTGAATTAAATTCAAATGAGTTTGAATTTACATCTTCCAATCTTGGCCTTTTCTATTTTCTCGGAACAAGCGTATTTTTGTGAGTTCGGGAAAATTATCCCCTTGTCCAAAATCTTTTCCTAAACCTCTCTTTCTTTTCCTCTCTTTTTTTGGTCTTTTCTGCTAAAGTAATATGAGAGAGAGAGAGTGGGGGGAAGTCAGCCCAGCTGGGCCTCCCAGCCATCTGCGCCTAGGCCCATTTGGCCCAAGGCCATCCCGCAGCCCATTGCTCTAACCCTAACCGATTGCTACCTCTTTCTCTCGATCCCTTCCCTCGTCTCCCTCGCGCCGCCAGAGACAGCGAGCGTTGCTGCCTCGCCCTCTCCCCATCGAACCCTTCCACTCGCTCACACATCTCAGAGAGAGCAGCGCCCGACCTCCTCCTCTGTCGGCCCCGCGCTCGGGTCTCCTCCTCCCCGTTCGTCCTTCTCGCTGGGAGCCCGAGCCCCGCTGGACCCCCTCGCCCTCGCCGTTCAGCACCGGCGCCGCCCTGCTGCTTCGTCCCTGCACCACCAGACCTCCTCTGTGCCGACCCACCTCCATGGCCGCCGAGCCACCGCCTTACGCCGCCCGTTCGTCTCCCCACTGCAGGTCCTCCCGTCGCCCAACCTCCTCCGCGCCAGCTCTCCTCTGCCTTCTCGCTACCAGGTCGTGGGAGCACTGGCCTTGCTTCCTTGGACGCCCTGCCGATGCTCCTTCGGCCACGCTCGACCCCGCCGAAGCTCTGTCACCTGATGCCCCACCAGGACCCCGCGAGTTCCAGCAAGTTCGGCGCCGTCCCAAGCCCAACGGCCATCCTTCTCCTTCCTCTGCGCCGCCTCCAACATCTGTGGTGCCCTGCGTCTCGACCCCGAGCAGCACTGCCTCGTTGCCATGCTCCTGTGATACCCTCGCCGCCATTTCCCTGCTTCATGCCAAGGCCGACGCCGGCCATTTCTTCCAGCCGCCGCTCATCCTTGGTGCCATGGTCTCTGCCTCCTTTGGACGACCTGTTGATGCCGTGCACAACTTTTGCCATGCCCTGTTGTGTGTGCTCTCCGCTGCCTGGCACCGTTGACTTCAAGACCTCGATGTACGACTACACGATGACGCATCAAGTTCAGTTTCAAAATGTTCAATTACACCCGATGAGGATTTCGACAAGTACCACGACGCTTGAACACCTCGGATTCACCAAGTTCCCACGACGACAAGTGTGACTCTTCGGATGCGCCAAGTCTGCCTACACAAAAACGCCAAGTACCACTCATGTCGGACCCCGAACGATCGATGTCTCGTGGACCGTGCACAACTACCGCCATTGAAGGCCCTTGAGTGAACAAACTACCGATGACGTGTATGACTACTTCGTGAACATGTACCACTACCGGCGAGGACCGATAGTACCACTACTTCTACTACCACCGCGGAACGACTACTTCCTCTACTTCCCTCGACGAACCCAAACCGCCCCGTTTGCACGCTTGGAAGGTATAACCCCGAGACGATGCTCGTGTTTGCGCCATGCCCGAATTGATCCTTGCACGTTCCTCGTTTCCTTGCCGCCATCATGTGGGACACCCGTTTGCCGGGATCACCCCACCATCCTTGCATGACATGCTCCCGTCACACTCTCATTTGCACCGGCATCTCAATCGAGTTACCGGAACCGATATGTTGTTGTGGCACCATTTTCGGATTCGTTGCCGTGGCACCCCTTTCGTTTCCGCCACGATGACAAATGCCTCATATCTTATCATGCCAACATTTTCTTAAAAATTGCTTAAACTTTCATATGTCATCCGCATCATCATAACAACTTCAAGAATGTTTAAAATTGTTGTTTGCATTAAATTGCTAATGCATATGGGGTTTTACCGGAATTGTTGTTCGTTACTTCCGGCCTCATTTAAACTTGACTAGATAGGTAGTTTTACTTTGCTTCACCCTCTTGCCATGCTAACAACATTTAATCTTGTTGGGTACATAAATGAGATCGAACTAAATAACTTGAATGTGGTGTTTCGTCAATATGCAACTCGTTGCATATTGAGCTCCACTTAATCTGTAGGATTGCTTGTGCACTTTGCCATGCCATGCTTCATTAAACCGGTCATGCATCATACTTGGTTGTGCATCATGCCATGTTGTTGTAGTGGTTGTTTACTATGTTGTTTGCTTTCTTTCCGGTGTACTTTGTCTCGGTAATCCGGTAACGTCGTGTTGTGAGGATTCGTTCGACAACATCCTTTTGTCTTCTTCATGGACTCGTTCTTCTTCCTTGCGGGATTTCAGGCAAGATGACCATACCCTCGAAATCACTTCTATCTTTGCTTGCTAGTTGCTCGCTCTTTTGCTATGCCTATGCTGCGATACCTACCACTTGCTTATCATGCCTCCCATATTGTTAAGCCAAGCCTCTAACCCACCTTGTCCTAGCAAACCATTGTTTGGCTATGTTACCGCTTTGCTCAGCCCCTCTTATAGCGTTGTTAGTTGCAGGTGAAGATTGGAGCTTGTTCCATGTTTGGGGAACATGGATATTTTATTGGGATATCACAATATCTCTTATTTAATTAATGCATCTATATACTTGGTAAAGGGTGGAAGGCTCGGCCTTATGCCTGGTGTTTTGTTCCACTCTTGCCGCCCTAGTTTCCGTCATATCGGTGTTATGTTCCCAGATTTTACGTTCCTTACGCGGTCGGGTTATAATGGGAACCCCTTGACAGTTCGCCTTGAATAAAACTCCTCCAGCAAGGCCCAACCTTGGTTTTACCATTTGCACTAACAACCTATAACCTTCCCTTGGGTTTTCGCGAGCCCGAGGGTCATCTTTATTTTAAACCCCCCCGGGCCAGTGCTCCTCTGAGTGTTGGTCCGAAACGGGCAGCCTGCGGGGCCACCTCGGGGCAACTCGAGGGTTGGTTTTACTCGTAGCTTGACCTATCTGGTGTGCCCTGAGAACGAGATATGTGCAGCTCCTATCGGGATTTGTCGGCGCATCGGGCGGCTTTTGCTGGTCTTGTTTTACCATTGTCGAAATGTCTTGTAACCGGGATTCCGAGTCTGATCAGGTCTTCCCGCTAGAAGGAATATCCTTCGTTGACCGTGAGAGCTTGTGATGGGCTAAGTTGGGACACCCCTGCAGGGTTTTGAACTTTCGAAAGCCGTGCCCGCGGTTATGGGCAGATGGGAATTTGTTAACGTCCCGTTGTAGAAAATCTAAAGTTGACCTTAATTAAAATACATCAACCGCGTGTGTAACCGTGATGGTCTCTTTCCGGCGGAGTCTGCGAAGTGAACACGGTGTTGGAGTTATGCTTGACGTAGGTTGTTCTAGGATCACTTCTTGATCATAGTTTCTCGATCGTGCTTTGCCTTCTCTTCTTGCTCTCATTTGCGTATGTTAGCCACCATATATGCTAGTCGCTTGCTGCAGCTCCACCTCATACCTTTGCCTTACCCATAAGCTTAAATAGTCTTGATCGCGAGGGTGCGAGATTGCTGAGTCCCCGTGACTCACAGATACTTCCAAAACCAGCTTGCAGGTGCCGTTGAACCGAGCAGATGACGCAACCAAGCTCAGGAGGAGCTCGATGAAGATCTTGTCCTTTGTGTTGTTTCGTTCTAGTTGTTCAGTAGTGGAGCCCAGTTGGGGTCGATCGGGGATCTGTGTAGCATTTGGGGTAGTCTTCTTTTATTTTGGTTCCGTAGTCGGACCTTGTATGTATTTGGTTGATGTAATGCTTTATTCATGTATTTGTGTGAAGTGGCGATTGTAAGCCAACTATGTATTCTTTTCCCTTATGTATTACATGGGTTGTGTGAAGATTACCTCACTTGCGACATTGCTTTCAATGCGGTTATGCCTCTAAGTCGTGCCTCGACATGTGGGAGATATAGCCGCATCGAGGGCGTTACAAGTTGGTAATCAGAGCCATCCCCGACCTTAGGAGCCCCCTGCTTGATCGAATAGCTGGCGTTGTTGAGTCTAGAAAAAATGTTTTGAGTCATTTAGGAATTATATATTGGAGAGTTTAGGAATTCTTTTTACTCCTC